AAGAAACAGTTGCTACCCATTTTTTATCGACTTAGGTCAGTCGCGGCCGAGATTCGAACTCACGACCCCCCGATCACGGAGCAAGCACTCTACCGACTGAGCTACCGTGAACGGTAAAAACATATATACACTTTTCCTATGGTTGATCTGTAGCTCTCTGGTCGTCCATTCCATTTTTAAAAAAAACAGCGAGCTAGATCATCAGCTATGTACATGCCAGACCCCCTTGCATCCCACAAGTAGAACAACATAGAACAAGTTGGCAAATGTTTTTAATTTTAATTTTTGGAAGATAATTATGTTTAAAATGCGTGCCCTTATAAGCATCTACGTATTTGTTGTTCACGCTTTGTGGTTTAAGCGTAAACTTCCCCAGTCAGGCTATACATTTTTATTCCTAAAATAAACCTATTTGGCAACCACAGTCATTCTTAATTGAAGTGGAACGACTCGATAAGTTCCTAATTATAATCCTAAAATGTTCAACAATACAAATTGTGGAACGAGCAAACACGGATTTCTAAAAACATTAGAGGTGGGTTCATGTGCCATGAAGGAGGTAAACATCCCTGTCGACCGCTCACACCCGCTGTGCGCTCCTTGTCATGATGGATCGGACAAATGGAAAACTCCGAAGACAATTCGGTGTGAAAATAATGGCCTAACATTTGTATAAAAAAAAAAAAACAACGTAAAATCCATTTCCCGAACGTGAAAAAACCTATTTCGTGGTGGTGGTGGTGGGTCCAGAATTTGCGAAATGTTGACTTTAAAGGAGACTGTTGATATCCTTGTGTCATCAACTTATTTATCATTTGCTTGCCTCGTTTTAGAAATAGTGATATTCTGATTCAAAAAACAGTTCTTCATTGTTTTTAATATGAAATTAAAGTGTGTGATACAAAGTATTATTTAAGAAATAAATAACAAGTTTAAAAACTTCAATGGGAATTGAAGTGGGTCGGTCACGTAATCAAATCCTGTGAAGGCCGAAGGCCTTCTCAGAAGATTTGATCACGTACCGACCCACTTCAATTCCCATTGAAGTTTTAAACTTGTTATTTATTACTTATATATACATTTGAGACGGACAATCGAATCTACGATTCCAGTAAGGCATATTTATTAATTTATGATGTTGACATGGAGACACTGGCGACAGCTTACATTGTTAAGACAACGTCACAACGATCTCGATGATGGAGGTGTGCCTACCAAAGTACAGTGTTTGTCAGCTGTTTGTGGCGTGATTGCATTACACTGATATTTTTCAACAGATTTTCAAATTTATTGTGAGTAAAGTTTAATGAAAAAAAATTATAGCATTCAGAGGTCTGCGAGAAAAATAAGGGTAAACGTTGAGACTATGCAGCTCAAACTTATAACACGTAGTTTTCTATGTAAAATCGATCAAGAACTGTATTAAATACTCGTTTACATTGTAAATAAAATGATTATCATTTTACTTGCATATTAACTATTTTGTACATTTTTATGCATGAAAAACATGCTATATTGCTTAGTGGAGTAAGTCTTTTTATGTAGATATTACTGCGCTGTGTGATTTGGTCACGTAATGACCTATGACGTTCGAAAAACTTCATACAGGTATGAAGATATTTGCTCTCTGCATGGTTATATAATAGAGAGATACCACAAATGTATATATTTTCGTATACAATGTATACCTCATATTTATATTTATATTGTGATAAATAAATTATTGCTCTTTCTATTCACTGTGTCAAATTTCTTAAAATCATGATAAGACATAAAATTCATTTCTGAAAAAGTAAGCACTGTTTCAAACTATAACTGCAACAATTATTTTCCTTTTGAATCTAATGCTTTTGTTGTTGGCGGAAACCAATATAGGGGTTTTTATAAGTTTTTGTGTAAATTTAGAGAAGAGGGTCATGACTCCTTAAACGTCTCTTTCCCATAGGTTTCGAACATATTATTTCCAGGGCACGGCACCAAGACAGAAATTTTAGACAGAAATATTATTTATAATTTAGAAACTTTGTGCATTTATATCTTCTTCTATGAAAAAAATGATATATTTAGTAATTAATTGTTACAATAGTTTTGGATCTGTAGGTTAGTTGTCATGAAAATGAACTGCTATTAAATAAATTATGCATTTAAAACGTACTTGGTCTTGTCAATTCCACTGAGTTGATTTCGTCATTGTCATCATTTTTTAAAAGTCTTTCCCAAGGTGTAAGTATTTGATCAATTAATTTTAAAACTCAAAATCGCACTTACACATTGTACAATCATGTATTGTTACAGTATTGTTTTTGTCTATTATGAATGATATAGGTGTAATTACCATTTGTATTATTATTAAATTTTGATTTGACATTTCAGAAAATGTTCCCACATTTAGTGATATTCATATTAATTCTAACCCACTTTTAAACAAGCTTTGTATTTCATTGTAATTATATCTACTTAGTTTGTGAATTTCAGCCTAATAATATTCCTGGCATTTGCTTAGGTGGAACAGCATTTCCTCATGTTGTTTGCTGGGAAAAGTGTTCTTGTTTTTTTCCCATCCCCCCAAATAAACCTTTTTTTCCATTACTTCAGCTTATTGTATGTTAACGTATCTAGCTGTTGTCAGAAGTTTCTTTTATGTACATTCTAGATTTGAATTCTTTTATTTTTGTACAATTATCTCACATATTCTGTTTAATTTCCTTAGTTTACATTTTAAATATCACAATTCATATTCCTTTGTGTTATTTTCTCACATTACAATATGAAAAAAAAAACAGAAAGAGAAACAATTTGTCTTCTTTAAACGGAACAAACACGCACAAAAATATTCTAAATATGTACATGTACTTGTTAGCTCAACTGAGCTGAAAGCTCAAGTGAGTTTTTCTGATCACCTGTTCTCCGGCGTCCGTCCGTCTGTCTGTCCATCCGTCCGTCTGTTAATTTTTCACATTTTCAACTTCTTCTCAAGAACCACTGGTCCAATTTTGACCAATGTTAGTACAAAGCATTCTTGTGTGAAGGGGAGTTTAAATTGTTAAAATGTAGGGTCAAGCTTTTTTACAAGGGGAGATGGTTAAGAAAATACAAAACTAGGGTGGAGTCATTTAAAAATCTTCTCAAGAACCACTGGGCCCGAAAAGCTGAGATTTACATAGAAGCATTCTGGGGGTAGTGTAGCTTCTAAATGTTCAAATCATGACCCCCGGGGGTAGGGTTGGCCACAGTGGGAAATCAAAGTTTAATTGAAATATATAGGAAAAATCTTTAAAAATCTTCTTCTCAAGAACCATTGGGCCAGAAAAGCTGAAACTTACATGGAAGCATTCTTGGGTAGTGTAGATTCTAAATCGTTCAAATCATAACCCCGGGGGTAGGGTGGGGCCACAATGGGGGATCAAAGTTTTACATTGAAATATATAGGAAAAATCTTCAGAATTTTTCTTCTCAAGAACCACTGGGCCAGAGAAGCTGAAACTTAAAGGACATATCGCATGTTTCTAAATTATTTAAATTAAAAAAGCCTATAACGTTCCTTATAAGCACAGTTTATGAATTTTGTGTTTTTACTGTGGATAAATCGCGGTAATTAACCAATTATTGACTCAAATTAAAACCCCTGATTTAAGAATCCAAGTTAATTAGATAGCAATCACGTGACCCTGTGACGTCAAAGACGACAATGGCTGATCAGCTGTTCACGTTAGTCTTACTAAAAAATACCCGACACAAACTGAATTTTCTGTGTTATCATGGTTATGGACGATCAAATCACTGATTTTTTTTAGTACGAAATCGAATATCCACCCTTATATATTTGGACTGTCAGCAAGAATAAAATCTGAAAATCTGTAAGCATTGTAAAATAGCAGCGACGATAGCGAGGGAGACGCGGCGAAGAAACTCGCCATTACAATACAAATTTGATTTTTTACCATATTACCTGTATTAAACCATTCTATTCACAAATTTAACATTATATGACTTTGTTTTTCATCGTTTTTAACATAAATATTAATTTATGCATGTATTCTGTAAAAGGATGGTGGTCTTGAAAAATTGTTTTCCGATCACGAAACATGGCCGTCAAAGTTTCAGATTCTAAATGTTTGGAATAAAAAAAAAAACAGAAATATCTCATAAACCTTATACCTGGGAACTATTTATTGTTTATAAAGTTATTGAAAATCACTTTAGGAATTAATTTTTTCAGCATTTTTCGTAATTAAGCTGCATTTGTTGTTGATAAGCCCGTTAATAGTGTGCAACTTATCTCTCTACCACTCAATTGTCGCCTATGACGTCAGAGCTGTATTTTGCCGAAATCCGATTGAAATATGCATATTGCGGTATTTGAATTTCAACTCTCAATATCGCTTAAAATATGCTTTCAACAACGTTAATTGTATCCAGTATTTTAATAAACAGGGTTGTAGATAATATTTTTCATAAAATTACGATTTTTTAAAAATCATGCAATAAGTCCTTTAAATGAAAGCATTTTGGGGTAGTGTAGATTCTAAATTATTCAAATCTCGACCCCTAGGGGTAGGATGGGGCCACAATGGGGAATCAAAGTTTTGCATTGAAATATATAGGGAAATTCTTAAAAAAATCTTTTTCTCAAAAACCACTGGGTCAGAAAAGTGAAACTTACCAGGAAGCATCCTGCGGTAGTGAAGATTTTACATTGTTCAATTTAAGACCCTCAGGGATAGGGTGGGGCAACAATACGTATTACAAGGGGGAAATCTGGTGAAGAACAGCAGGACCAAAGTTACTCAGGTGAGCGTTGTGGCCCATGGGCCTCTTGATTTATTTGTGTTATGTGCATTTCGCAATTTTCGAAATATACATATATTACGCGACAGATGTTGTTGGTAAGGAGGTATAAATAAACCCCTGGAATGACCATGATTGTATCATTTTAAACTTAAAACCATAAGTACAGTACTCACCATGCAGTAATAAATGTATATAACTGATAACTTTTTTTCCGACAGCTGTTTTTCACTTGTCAATTCTTAGTACATATCCTTATAATAAAATCGTCAATCTTTGAAAAAAAGTTTTCTTGGTTTTATGCACATTTTTTCAACGATGAGGAATATTTTCCAACTGTTGTTTTTAATTACTTACATGGCAGTGTGTCTAGTACCCGAAGGTAAGAAATTTTACATTATTTACCAAATAAATTTTGTAAATACTTAGCGGGGAGTTCAATGCAAGTAGTATGTTATCAACCGATGTAAAATAATAATTTTTGACAAACTTAAAAAAAGTTTGTATAATCGTATATTCTATTACTTAGCTGAGCCTAAGACACCCCTTCTATGTAAAGAGAACGAGTTTAAATGTATGAGGAGCTGTATCTCTGTAAACTGGAGATGTGATGGAAAGTATGATTGTCCAGACCCTGGTGATCAATCAGATGAGGAAAACTGCCGTGAGTTTATTTATTCAACATATATTTCATTAGTTAGACTCGTAGCAAAGTGACATGAACGTTTCTCAAACGTTGGGCACTTTAAGATTTTTTTTTAAATATTGTAGAATAGGATTAACTATGTTTTTTTTGGCAAATAATGCAGACGTCTTTGAAACACATCTTAATATATGTTTTGCCAATGTATTGTATGCATGATGTATGCATTTCAATTGTTATTAAGATCAGACGACACATTCCTCAATAATATATAATTTTTCCCAAGAATTTGTCATTGAAGTACTGCTAATTCCTCACGAAAAAAATTGATCGAGGTACCTTACCAGACATTTGTGCAAGATACCAGAGGGTAATGTTTCCTATACAATCCTATTTAAAAATAATTTGAATTGTCAATATCACAAATTTTGCTCCATTTATTTCCTCAGATATGTTGAAAACAGTTTAGAAATCACAAGATAATGTTAATATTACGAATATTTCTTATATCTTACAAAGAAAAGCACAACAAATATTTGATGAACGTGTCATCAGACCTTAGGAAGAATTTTTGAAATGTGATCGGACAAAAGATAGTATGGGACAAGTAGAAATGTTACTGGCATTTTACAATACATTCTAGATTATTTTAATTCATACAAAATTCATACAAAATTAACGTAATTAGAATCTGCCGGAAAATCAAGGGTAGTACAAACTGGAGCAATCTGAGATCTGTTTATTTTTGTACCACGTGAATTCGTCACCCGCGTGGCGCAGTAGATAGAGCGTCTGCTCTAGAGTCGCGGAGTAAGGAGTTGATCCTTACGTCGCGGGTTCGAATCCCACTGTGGGACGTGGAGACCGGTCCTTCGGATGAGACCGTATAAACTGAGGTCCCGTGTCGCAGTAGGTGCTGGCACGAAAAAGATCCCTCACTGCTCAATGGCCGTAAATGCCGAGTATATGACAAAATTTGCAGCTGTCCACGGCAAGTGGTGGCGTCTCCAGATGAGTGAAAATTTCTCGAGAGGGACGTTAAACAACATACAAACAAACAAACAAACAAAAAAACAAGTGAATTCTAAAATAACACTTGCACACTGTAGAGTTCACAATTATAATGGAATATGAGATAAAGGCAATTCTTAAAAGCAAAAAAATCATAACGTTCCGATAAATTAATAATCGTAAACATTTTAGTCTGCATCCAGACGAATTTAACAGAATTAAAAGTACAAATGTTGACATTTTGTGTATTGGGATCCGAGAAAGGAAAAACCACCAAATCATACGTTATCGCGGCAAAACGTCAAACAAATATTTTAGGTCACCTGAGTTACTCAGGTGACCTATTGCTATCTCTTTTCGTCCGTCGTCGTGCGTCGTGCGTCGTTCGTCGGTCGTAAACTTTTGAACATTTTCAGCTTCTTCTCTGGAACCAGTGAACCAATTTCAACCAATTTTGGCATATAGCATCTATGGGTGAAGGGGAACAAAAATTGTGAAATTCGTGGCCCCTGCCCCCCTGGGGCCTGAGGGGTGGGGCCAAAACCATCAAAATTAATGCAATCTTTAAAAATCTTCTTCTTTATTCCTGGACATCAAGCAGTCAAACTGTTGGCATGATTGTAATAAGCATTGAGCGAGCCCTCTACCAAAATTGTGAAATTCATGGCCCCAGGGTCAGGGGTTCTGGTGCTAGGGTGGGGCTATATAGATCATATAGTGAAAGTGCATTATTTCTTTGAAAATCTTCTTCTCTATTCCTGGGTATTATTGAAACAAATTGAATACATAGTTATGATGAGCAAGGGTGACTCTACCAAAATTGTGAAATTCATGGCCCCAGGGTCAGGGGTTCTGGTGTTAGGGCGGGGCTATTTTGATTATATAATGAAAATGCATTAATTCTTTGAAAATCTTCTTCTCTACTCCTGGGTATTATTGAAACAAATCGAATACATAGTTATGATAAGCAAGAGTAACTCTACCAAAATTGTGAAATTCATAGCCCCAGGGTCAGGGGTTCTGTTGCTAGGGTGGGGCTATATAGATCATATAGTGAAAGTGCATTATTTCTTTGAAAATCTTCTTCTCTACTCCTGGGTATTATTGAAACAAATCGAATACATAGTTATGATGAGCAAGAGTGACTCTACCAAAATTGTGAAATTCATAGCCCCAGGGTCAGGGGTTCTGGTGTTAGGGTGGGGCTATACAGATCATATAGTGAAAGTGCATTATTTCTTTGAAAATCTTCTTCTCTACTCCTGGGTATTATTGAAACAAATTGAATACATAGTTATGATAAGCAAGAGTGACTCTACCAAAATTGTGAAATTCATGGCCCCTGGGTCAGGGGTTCTGGTGCTAGGGCGGGGCTCTTTTGATTATATAATGAAAATGCATTAATTCTTTGAAAATCTTCTTCTCTACTCCTGGGTATTATTGAAACAAATTGAATACATAGTTATGATAAGCAAGAGTAACTCTACCAAAATTGTGAAATTCATAGCCCCAGGGTCAGGGGTTCTGTTGCTAGGGTGGGGCTATATAGATCATATAGTGAAAGTGCATTATTTCTTTGAAAATCTTCTCTACTCCTGGGTATTATTGAAACAAATCGAATACATAGTTATGATGAGCAAGAGTGACTCTACCAAAATTGTGAAATTCATGGCCCCTGGGTCAGGGGTTCTGGTGCTAGGGTGGTGCTATATAGATCATATAGTGAAAGTGCATTATTTCTTTGAAAAGCTTCTTCTCTTCTCCTGGGTATTATTTAAACAAATACATAGTTATGATAAGCAAGGATGCCTTTTCCAAATTTGTGAATTTCATGACCCCTGGATCAGAGGTTCTGATATTAGGGCGGGACTCTATTTATTATATAGTGAAAATGCATTAATGCTTTAAAAATCTTCTCTGCACCTGGGCATATCAGAGGCAAAAAGGGTAAAAGTTTTAATAAGGAAGGGTATTTTTACCAGATTTTTGAACATCAAGACCATTTGGTCAAGTGTTTTAGTCCAGACCAGGGCTCTATTAATTTGTATTCTACTGAGAGGAGTTATTCCCCTTTGCCATTTACTTGTGATAATTAATCACTGTAAATAATGTACTTGAAAGGTTAATAGAATAAGAGAATTATGCAAGAATTTTTATTGTATAATACAAAAAGTACTTTCATAGTTTTAATGATCAGGTAGACTTGTCTTATTAGAGAAAAACCGACATCTTACGAACGAACGTAACTCGCCCTAACTTCCCGTATCTTGGTAGTTTTCCCGGGACCAGTTATTGCACCCAGTTTAAAATTAATAAATCAGAAAAATTAAGTATATGTGTATAATAGAACGGACAGTATGTTAATGACTTTGTAAATGATAATTTCTTCTGTCTAATTTTCTGTAATCACTTACAATGTAATTAAAAGCGGACAAATAGAAGAAAATACGCCAAAATACCTATGACGGGTTAGGAAACACATTTGTCATGCGTCAGTGGTTATACGTATATACTAGTGTGAGCTGTGTTCATTTGGGGAAAGTTACGTTTTATAGCATGGATGAAATCTAAACTCACACCCTGTATAAATCCATGCAAAGGCAACAAGTTACCAGGTGATGCGATTATATAGTGTCTTGTATTTGAAAGTATACATTTATGTGCTTGTAAGAGAGAGAGAGAGAGAGAGAGAGAGAGAGAGAGAGCACATGCAATGGACAATAATTGTTGTAATGAATTATACAATGTAACATTGTTTTCCAACGTTTCAGAAATCAACCATTAAAAATCAGAAAATAGTTGGCACTTCTCCGGAAAACGTAATATTTTTAAAGTGGTCGCGCGTAGATGTTTGTGTACTTGGGAAGGGAGAGGGGGTCGAAGCTCAACTAATCGAATTGAATGTCCATTTTCATTACATTTAACTAAATACATGGAATACTACGATCCATATACTACAATCCTTATAAAAGTGGAATGGGGCAATGCATGCATATGCAATATTTTTTTTCCCATATCGTATCTAGTAAAAGAAAAAGTAACTTCATAAAGAAAGAAGGGTAGGTTTTTCTTTATGTGAAATATCACTTCAAAAAAATAAACGAGCATTCATATGATAGACAGTATCTTCTTGGATGATGTATTATGTTGCAATCTTCACTTAATTTATCTTTCGGCTGCCTTTCATGATATATGTTATATCCGTATAGATATGAGGATTATAAAAGCTGCAAATTATGTATTTGAGTAGGGTTCACAGATTTAAAGCTGGGGGGGGGGGGGGCAGCCAGAGAAAAAAATTCAACTTACCTGAAAAAACCTGACAAGCAAAATAATAATAAAAAAAACCTTCTTTCGGTACCATTTTTTTCCCCATACATTACATGTACTACAATAGCCTTATTTGACTGTAATGCAACAAAGGGGGGGGGGGGGGGGGGCAACGAGCCTTTCAATGAACATTTCCAACAGTAAAAAGTAATGTGTGGAAAAGGTGGGGGCAGGCCCCTCTAGGTGGTGTATATTTATTAAATTTTCTTTGTACTCAAGCTATGTACCATTATATCATTGTTTGATTATTCGTCAGAATATAAAATTACACGTGAAGGGTAACTTTGACCCCGCACTCAGAGTAATTTCGACCGAAGCTCTAATGTACAGAAAAAAAAACTATAGTCGAAATTATAACTTGCGTCACCTCTAAGAAAAAACAAATCCATGATTTATTCAAGTACACTGACAAAAAGATACTGTAGTTTTTCTAATTGTGAATAATTTGAAGACATCAAGTGCATGACGCTGATTCATTGAGTTGTCAAGGCATGCTTCAAATGTACCTGCACACACAGGCAAATAAACAGAACAGACGAGTTTTCACTGATTCTACTGATATTTTTTTTTCCATTTTTTAAAATAGTCATAAATTCTTTCTGGTAAAAGTTATATTGCTGCAGATTTATTTATTATCCATTAGTCGAATTAGAAACATATAATTTTCGTTTTTAAAAGTG